ATCCTAAGAAATGAAATCTTTTTGTTGTTTTTTTGTTTAATAAAAGAGAATAAAATCTAAGTCTACTTAATTTTAATTTTAAGAAAGTGTTAAGGTAATTAATTAATTAATTAACAAAATTAATCTTAATAAAAAAAACTAAAACCTAATTTTTTGTGATTTTTTTTATTTGATTTTATGTTGATTAAAACTAGAAGAAATAAAATAATAAACAAAAACAAAATAAATGAACCAAGTAGTAAATGAAAAAAAAGAGGTACAATTTGCAGGACGCAGGCCCGGATAGAAAAGAGGCCCAAGTTGCCTTTCGATCCAATAAAGAAGATTGTCGAAAGTGCATGATGGAATGCACATTTGGGGGCATTGGATCTGGATTGGCCAGCATCTGGCAGCAGGAGAATGATGGTGTATGATTTGCTCCTTTGATCTGGGAACACTGGATCTGCAGGAAAATCATTAGAAAAACAAAATTCCAAACTTGAGTCGAATCTAGTCTTGGATTCGACAGATTGTGGTTGTATCATCCTAATCTGAACCCCCTGAGTTTGAATTGAAAGTTATTTTGTCTTGAAATGTCATGAATCATGAGATTCGAAGGAAGATACAGATCATGCCCTAGCAATGGCATGATCTCATCCCTGCACTTAAACAATGGAGGGATTATTTGAATGATTCTCATGTGTGCGTTGGACCTTCCTAATGCTTGGAAACGCCTCATGGAACCTTCAGGGAGTGAGTGGAATGCTTGTTTTGGGTTAGTGAGGCCTGCAAAGATTGTTTCGATTCTGAAAACTTCGTGAAGGTTTGGAGAATTTGGTGTGGTTTTCTGGGACAGCTTCTTGTGTATAGGCAATGTGTGTCCTTTTTGCTTGCGCTTTAGATCTGTATTTATAGGGGCACAATGGTGAACGAAAATGGCAAGAATCAGCCATTAACCATGGCTTTGAAGGCAGAATCGAAAGTCTTTAGAAAGTTGCCATTATTGATGATTTTCTACCATTTTGGGTTTTGCGTGAACCTGGACAGGTTTCACATCTTGACTCTTTCGAATGCTCTCAAACCTTATTCTTCAATTGGCTCTGAGTTCTAATCTGAATGGCTCAAGGGCTAATCATTGTGGCTTCTTCGATTGGGCCACTATCTGCCTTAGTTGCTTGATCTGAAAACTATCCAATCATCCCAATCGAATAATTCTTGTTCCCTTCAATTCGACCATCTCTTCCTCTTGGCCTGTCAAAGCATTGTTTTGTCCTTTCCTTCGAACATAGTAGTGTAGGCGGTCCTTCGGTTCTAACTCCCACCCTTTGCTTGTCTACAAGAAACACCTTTACTGCGTATTAATCCATCTTCGATTGGTGAATACAGCTTGTATGCACCAATCGAAGGGTAACCTAAGAGTATCATAACTTCTCTTCAAACATCCAACACCTATTTAGGTACATTCCAAAAGCTCTGAGGTGACTTATATTTGGATGATTCATCTCAAATTGTCCTTCGATCACGCCATGCTTGAATATGACATATCCTTTGAACCATTAGACTTCCACGTGTTTCTTTGGATATACAACTTGTATGCATCAATCAAAGGGTAACCTAAGAGCATCAAAACTTCTCTTCAAACATCCAACACTTATTCAGGTACATGCCAGAAGCTCTGAGGTGACTTATATTTGGCTGATTTATCCCCAACTGTCCTTCGATCACGCCATGCTTAAAGATTACATGTCCTTCGAATCATGAGCCTTCCACATGTTTTATTTGGATAATGATGAAAAAATTTTGAATTCCAAATATCCTTCTTTTCGAAGCGCCCATTCAGGCAACATGTTAATCGAAAGGTGTCTTCCTTGTAATGATTCGAATGGCTTACATTCCAGTGAAAACAGACCCTTTGGAGCTCCTTACTAACTCTTCCAATTGAAGACTTCATAAAAGCCTTCTCAACTTTCTTTCGCGCCATTCTTCCTTCGATCCTAGCGCTTCGTTGGGCATCATACTGTTGTCGAAGCTGCTTCGACCCAAAAGCCCTTAGGCATATTTTCAGCCTTCGACCTACACTTTGTCATGCACACTTCTTTTCTTTCATTCAACTGTGCCATTATGCTGAGGCATATAGGGTGTCATGGAAATTATTTGAAGCTTTAGAACTCACATATCTTGGTGAAAAGTGAAATTAATTGAAAGGCCATTGCTTAGGAGGAGAATTTATCTGATAAATTCTTGGTCAACCTTGAGCAATTGGGGACCTTAATGAGCATGCCTTAAATAAAATGAGAGGGAAAATTTTGAGGTACAACAACTAATATTTGGATTCAACATTATCCACGTCTCATAAGGTATTTTTTGCACCTTCTTATTTGTCAGACATTTGTTAAGGATATACACTACTGTTGAAACTACTTTGCCCCTAAAATCTCTTTAGTTTATCCTTAGCTTTCAACATGCTCCTGGCCATATTCAATAAACTTTTATTCTTAATTTTTTCTATTCTATTGTGATATGTAGGCTTCTATGAATGCTCTATGCATTCATCATTACATAATTTTGTAAATTCCACATGGATATATTCATCTCCACCATCATTTCTCAATTTCTTAATATTGTATTCACTTTGTTTTTCAACTAGCAATTTAAATCTCTTAAACAGGGTGAATACGCCACTATTTCTTTCAATCAGATAAATCTAAGTGTATCTTATGAACTCATCTGTAAAAGTTAGGAAATATCACCCACCTTAATTTGACCTTGCTTCAAAAGGTCCATACATCCAACTTTTGTTTTGACTTCATAGGCAAGTCATTTTTGAATGACTTTCTCGCTTATTTAGCTTTGCAATATTCTTCACATATATGACTTGGTATTTCATCTGAGGTAGACCATACCTTGTCTTCTTCATGTTAAGCATACTTAGACTTTTGAAGTTCAAGTGTCCATACCTGTAGTGCCACAACCATTTTTTATTTTCTCTCACAATTGAGGCAAGGCACTGATGATCAAACATGTTGATCTCTATCTTAAAGGTTTTATTGTCTTCTATTTGTTCTCTCAAGATGAATCTTCCTTCATAATCATACAATTTCATATGGTTATCTTCCATTTTCATATTGTAGCCCCTTTGTCAGTAATTGACCTATTCTTATCAAGTTACATGTCATATAGGGTATATATAATACATAAAAAATGGTAGCCTTCTGACCATATTTTCTCATCACAACTATGTTTCCCTTTCCTTTTGATGTGACATGTCTAACATCTGTAATCCTTACACATTCTTTAATGATTCATGTAGCATGATGAACTAGTTATTGTTATCTATCATATAGTTGCTACACTGCGAATCTAGATACCAAACCTTGGTTTGATCATCACTAGATTAAGTGTTAGCCATTAGCAGCACATTATCAGAATCACTTCATCCCGCATATGCATATTGAACTTCTTCCTTATCTTTTGCCTTCGAATCCTTGTTTAGGTAATAATCTCTTGCAAAGTGGTCAAATTTTTTACAACTATGCCTTTTTTTCATTAGATAATTTTGATTCTTTAAATTCTTTATTGAACTCTCAACAATTGCATGATTCTTTCTCTACTTCTCTTTTCCTTTTTCAACTTTCTTGATGAACTTTTCTTACAGTGTCTGTTCAACAATTTTCTCCCTTTCTGAGCTCATTTACTTCAATCTTATCTCACGAGCCTCTAATGAAGCTTGAAGTTCCTTTAACTTAATCTCGGTAGGTTCTTGGACTCCTCTATTGACACCATGATGTAATCAAACTTTATAGTAAAAAATCACAACACTTTCTCGATCTTTTGTAAGTCTTTGATTGATTTACGACACACCTTAATCTGATTGGTTAACAATACCATTCTTGAGAAGAATTCTACAACTGACTCTTCCTATTTCATTTGGGTCATCTCAAATTACTTTCTCAAAGTCTGCAACTTTACTTTCTTCAACTTCTCATCTCCGCCATACAACTTCTTCAACTTATCTCATGCTTTTTTAGTCGTTTCTTCTTCAATGATCTTCTAAAAAATATTAGGATTCACACACTAATGAATCAGGAATAGAGCTTTTCCATCTTTCTTCCTATGCTCCTTGTGTGCATACCTTTGAGTATCATTTGCATTGTCTCAAATGCTGGTACATCATCATACATACACCATCATACACGATTTCAACTACATCTTGAAGTCTAAATATGACCTTCATTTGTGCAATTCACCTATCATTATTTTCACCTTTGAAAATTAATAGATTCGTTAGAAATTGATTCAATATTGTGCTCTCATTTTTCATGGTAAATAGCTTAATCAAATTGGTCTCCTTGATACCAATTTATTAAAACAATATTGTGTTTTTTGAGAGTGGAGAAAAAAAGAGATTAAATTGATTGTAAGGAAATATTATTGTAAATTTTTATTATTGAGAGAGAAGAGTTATTATTTACAACATAGTGACATGTATATACAAAGGTTTACATGTCTTAATTAGTTCACATATTTATAACTAATCTTACAAACTTTTTAACTAATCTTACAAACTTCATAACTACCAAAACAACTATAATATGAATTATACATACTCAACAATATATAATAAAATTAAAATTTTCTAAATATTTTTTAAGCGAAACGATAAAAAGATGATTCCATATTCTCATATCCAATCTAATAAAAATTATACTTGACCATCAACACCAACTACATCTATAAAACATCACCTAAACTTTGTTCTAATGATTGGTATTATTTTCTCATAATTATATATCACTTGATACACATATTGGAAAGCCCCACAAATTATAGGCACTCCTCCAAATATTACTTTAATCTATCAAAAGTCCACCATACATTTTACTTTAGTAAGTTGCACATAAATGCAAATATAATAATATCATAACACAATATATAAAATGCTTTTAGGTTGAACAGAAACTTCACACACATAAAGAAAGATACTTTCCTTTTTTTGTTGGTCCGAGAAAAAGAATATTGTAATGATGAATGTAGAAGAAGAGGTTGAAAAGCTCAGGGAAGAAATCAAGAGGCTTGGAGAGGTTCAAACAGATGGTTCTTACAAGGTAACAAAACGATTCCTCCTCCTTTATCTTCATCTTTTTATATTCTTCATTATTTTCCTTAGAATCCATATATATTTTTTCATGATTCATATAGATAAGCCCTTTAATGATCAAACACTTGACTCAGATCGAGATATATTGATAGATATTTATCAATATGCTGTATTTATTGAATGTGATAACTTTCTTATTCTTATGGATCTAGATCAAAAGATCGGTCACAATATTAGGTCTACATTTTGTTCACGGATCTATTCTATATTGGGAAACATCATTAGAAATATGCGTTCTCACTAACATATGCATTATTATGAATCTATCTAGAGATGCATAACTACCCTTTTCAGTGTAAACAAGCATTGAAGTAAGCACTAAACATCGTATCAATATTTAGTGATTTAAAGTTTGTTACATAGAAATAGAATATAGATCTTGGTCCAAACGATTCAAGATATAGCAAGTGATGGTGAATTGATTTTTTACATGAAGATATAGCAAGTGATGGTGAATTGATTTTCTTGTAAATGCACATCTTTGTTCAATTTGTAGTTCACCTGTAAACTTAAGATGGGTCTGTGTTTTTTATACTATCACGCAATTTTATACTATGACACAATGCATTGTGAAGGTTACATTTGGAATACTCTTTCACGATGATCGGTGCGCAAATATATTTGAAGCGCTTGTTGGCACACTACGAGCTGCCAAAAAGCGTAAAGTAGTTACCTACGATGGCGAGCTACTGTTGCAGGGAGTCCATGATAATGTGGTAATCACTCTTAATCCTTCCCCTGCTGCTGTTAACTGATACAAACGGGGAGGATCATTGATCATCCCTGGCTGGTGTGATTCTATTTTGCGTGATTGTGTGTAATATATGCATGTTGGTATCTCTTCATAAACTAATTACCATTTAGTTTGTATATCAATTGTAAAACCAACATATTTGAAAGGTAACTTTGTGCAATAAAACCCCACTATTTATGTGTTATAATTACCTTTTTTTTTATAAAATATAGTTGTAATATATGCATGATCGACGATAAAATGTGAAACATTTAAATGCAAGTTCATCTAAAACCATGAAAAAAAACTACATTCAGTAGTTGAATCAAGACATGGCATGTCATCTTTATCAGGAAAATACTTCCAAAAGAATGGTAGAACACAAGGAGTTGAAGTATACCATAAAGAGAATCAAGAGACCGGGGTTGAGACGGTATACTACCATTCAATAAACAGCATGCGCTGAATTGATATATCAAAAGATTATTGGCAGGATAAAATTAATGACCTGTACATGCTTTTCTGTGAGGTCAAAAAATTATTCGCAAAAATGGGAAAACTAAGTCTGACAAAATTAAAAACTGTTGAAAATTTATGGGGCATCAGCCCGGCAATATTATCTTGATGATCCATTGATAATAAATGCTTGGAGAAGGCTCTGTGCTGCTTGGGTTTCATCAGGTGTGCCCGATAAGACAATAGTGGTTCCGTTACTTGTTCCCGAATGAGCTTCATGAATGGTAACCTTGGCACCTGATATCTGAAAATGAGAACACAACTAGTTAAAAAGACAGTTTTCAGGCGCCTTCCGCAATATCTCTTGACAAGTCACAATTTTCATAAGAACAATGCTGACATATCCAGAGAAAAATATGTAAGCAAGAGATGATATAAAGCAACCAAAGTTTCTAGTACTTTTAGTATCAACGCATAGTATTTATCTAGGAACAAATTTTTGAGCAGATAAGCAATTATGAAATCAAATAATTAGATCACACAAGCAAGTTCACAATAATTAACACGACAATACTGTAAGCAACCAAACAAACTAGTGTAAATAAAAACTTAAAGGAAATTATGTACCTGTCTCAATTGATTCAGATTGTTACCATTTTCCCCATATACACGGCCTATTATATTATTTGGAACCATAATTTCCACAGTTGTATTAGTTACAACAGTTCCACTCCCACTGCAGACAAAAAAGGGTAATAGTCAGAATATGACAGTACGAGTTCAAAGACACAAACAAACAATATCATGTAGGCACACAAACCATAAGTACCACTTCCTAGTCATCCAGATCCTATCCAGATCTTTGATCGGGTGATACTAGGAAGGCGTATGGTGTGTTCTTCATCAAATAATTGATTTATATTAAAGCAGGTCTTTTGTATTTTGCACATATATCACCAACCTGCCAAGTTCTAAGCCACCTTTATGAGGAGTCCATCTCCGGCTCACATTGTCAGGGAATCCAGAATTTATCCCACCCGCCGCCTGTCATCAAATTTAATTATTTAACAAGGGAAAACTTGCAAAGAAAAACCAGCCAATAGAGAGAAAGAGGCATACCTTTGGTTCCCATACCCCTGGTGCAGAAGAGCGGTCTAAATTTCGAGAAAGAGTGAGATGATCAATGCTTTGAGATAAAGAATGAACATTGAGGTCATGATTAACACCAACAACTGGTGTGCCTCCAAGACTTAAAGGAATGTCACTCAGTCTCCTGAAGAGACCAGCTCCACCACTGTTTTGTGCTATGGCAAAAAAATGATCTCGCAGTCTATTAGTAGCTTTATATAATGCATCTTGAACATTTGGAAAATCACCTGATATCTGAGGGGAAAAATGAAAGAATATACAGTAGTTAATAAATGTCTGAAGCCACTGCAAGACTTTGTGGACTTTGTAAACAAAGTACAGTCACACACATATTGTGATTACTGCATAGGGGTGAAAGTAATGCTTGGATACAATAAGAAATATATGTTGAATTATCATAGCACATATTACAATCACTACACCTTTTGCCAAGGAAATTGTGTAAATCATCTTTGGAAAGTGTGAGGATCAGATTTCCCGATCATGCAAACACATGAAGCAAAATTGAGCAGCCACAACACACCAATTGCAGTAACTGATATAGGCATCAGGAAGACCATCATATCATTTTGACTAATATGAAGGTAATTTAAGGCTACAGGTATATAATAAGATGCAAAAAAAGTCTCAATTTTAAAATGTTACTCTTTCCCTCCATAAAAGGGAAAAAAATAGCTTATATTTCTAATATAGCTCATAAAGGGAAACTGTTTGTTTGAGGGATAAGGAAACACAAGGTACGCCCTAGCTGTTTATTACTTATAAACCAGTCAAAGCATAAGAAAGATATGAACTATGAAAACAAAGGAAGTTACTAAACCCTTATTGAATGAAAAATTAAATCACTAGCATACACATAAAATACCATAGCAACGATGAGCGACGCCAAGAACCTAACTTTTAATGTTGAACAGGATACACACTTTATCGAATTCTTTCCAAAACATATTTCAACCAATGAAGAAATACATATTACTCTCTCCGTTCATTATTATAAGACCTACTTACAAAGTTCAAAGGTATTGACAAAAAATTGTTGTGGCAATATTTTTGTATGAAACGAGTGTTACTTTTTCATGACTAATCCTACAATTCATGATATTATAGGAGAGAGAATTGCTTCCTAATTGTAAATTAAATAGGGATATTTTTGTAAAAACATAATTAATGTGAATTTTTTAGAAGAAAATTACATCAGGGGACAAAAAATGAAAAATGGATCTTATAATTACGGATGGGACTAAAGTCATACACATATGAATAGCAATTTCAAAAATGTTGGGTTTTTTGCAGAAAGAAAATTGGTGTATCAGGCACTGATAATTTCTACATGATGAATGATGAGGAAACTCTTTATTTAAGGGTGAGAGGAAACTCTTTATTTAAGGGTGAGAAAATTTCTTTTTAAACTTAACAGAATACAGAAAATGACATGTTAAGAAAATATGAAAGCATTCTTAAGCATCTTTTGATTGTAAATTCAATAAACAAATGATCTCCACACCTGTACCACTTGATCATTATAAGATGCACACTTTGGAACTTGACCATTCCCAATTACTCGGATGTTAGTCCATGTGGCCTTCCGGATTTCAGAGACTATTGCCCCTGCCTTCCCTAACAAAACACCCACTTGGTTGGATGGGACTACAAGTCGTGCAGTGACAGATGGCCCCTTGTATGGTCGCGAATCTAGCCCCTTCTCAACAGAACCTTCAACAGACTTGCAGAAAATAAGCACCACGGCCTTCTGTGCTGGAGAAAATCTTGATTCAGGATTCTGCCGAAAAAAGAAGAAATCAGAAAAAGGAAAATTAACAAGTACACATAATGATAATGGAATATTAGAAGATAAGAAACAAAAGTATAAGAAAAACAATTATATTTGACAAACCTCTAAAGCAGTAACAGTAATCAGCCGCTCCTCACACTCAAATACTGGAGGACCAACAATTATACTAGCTCCTGTTTCGTTCTGAAGAGTTTTCAGAGTACTTCCATCTTTCCCAATTACAGTGCCAATCCTATCACCGGAACAAAGAATTCTAAAGGTAACTTCCAGCTGAAGTGCTTCCGGATCCAGGGCTGAAACTCTATCAGCTTCAGCTGACAACGGCTGAACTTTAGAGGCACTGACATCAGACCTAATGGGTGAAGTAGATAATGCAGAGGTCCTCTGCAGATGGCAATCCATATTCAGATCAGTTAAACCCTCATGGGGAACAGCAGAAGTTTCATGCTGAGATAATTCATTAGGTCTGGTTCCCATCATCTTTGTTCTGTCGGGAGGAGGAGGAGGAGGACCCTGAAGTCGGCCAGCGACAGCAATGAGGGCCCTCTTTACAGATGACGCAGTGCCTTGTATCTGACAACACTCCCAAAAATATATTTACTCAGTATTTTGAAAAATTATATAGCACAGATAAATTCGAAGTTTATTTAGCATATCCATGTGTCCTTTGATTAGTGAGCTATAACATGTTCACAACCTTAAGCATGAAATTTAAGTACTATTTTAAATTGCACCTAAGGTAGCCAAAGCTAAAAGCTAAAACATAACACCCTTCAAGATTCGACTCCCTAGCCACCTTAAGGCAACAGTAATCACTAACTAGGTCTACACCTTTAACTTAAACTTCAAACTCTACAAGGGCGGAAAGATCTACCAATCTATTCTATTACTTATGTAATTTTACTGGACTGATTTAGTTGGATCATAGTAATTTCTGGCTATCATGGAAAACCAATTTGATATCCATGAGAATTCTGCTGCTAAGGTTAAATCATAAAAAGAAAACACAAGAACAATGTGTTACCTAGAGGCAGCCTAAGCTAGCTAGCACAAAGTACACAATTTTCCTTTGATGATCAATCAATTCCAGAATGGCCCCTAGGAAGGCTCATTCTAAACAAATTCACTCATGTGACTGGCTGAAATAGCCAACCTACTAAGTGTAACATATAAGACGCAAATATAGAGGGAAAAATATTTTCTAAATTAATATGTCACAAATCAAAATTGATTCAGACAAAAATATAGGAAAACAGAAAATTTAAGATGAAAAATAGGATAAGATTATCTATACAGCAGATAATAGGGAAGGAATTTTCAATGTAATAGAAAAAGTATGAACATTGTAAGAATAGGAAAAAAAACTATTTATTTTTTACTAAGTGATGTTTTATTGTTTATTGAAAATGAGTACAAGCTGGTACATGCCCTACTAGTGTGGTGTACCGAAATGAAGTACGCCCATGAGAATGTAGATGTATAGACAAGAATTTGTCACGCAATTAACCATCCGAGTATTTTATTAGTTTCCTTTAAAGCGCAGTTTGTTTAGACTTGTAACTTTGTTGGAAATTTACACATTATCTATGCTACACTTTCCCATTTAACCACACTAACTAGTATCATCAATGGCAAGATCTATACAGGCATTAATTTATTAGAATTACGCAATTAACCGCCAGTAACTTGTTTAGACTTGAAATTTTGCAACTTGCACATTTCCATGTTATACTTTCCCATTTAACCACACTAACTAATGTCATTTTCTTTCCTTGTCTACATTGAATGAAAATCAAATCCACCATTTCAATTATTGTTTTTCACATATCAAACATTTATGTGCGCGGTGCTAAGATATTTCCTAATGACAAAGAGGCAACGGGTTCAAATCATGCAAACAACCTCTTCACTTATGGTGATATAACTGCATACATCTACGTTCACCAAACCCCACCACCACTTAGTGGAAGCCTCGGGCACTAGACTGCCCTTTATTTTCATTACCAAGCGGCAGGAGGGTATTAGTATTATGCTATTTCTTCAAGAATTATTGCA